AAGCTCAAATGCCACTGGGGCAGCTAAATGTTTTCCTGCCCTATGTGTCTGTTTTTAATTTGAATCTGCCTGTGACTACTGCCCACCTGGTTAAGTTAAATGTGACCAGCAGGCTCCTCTGGTAAAATGTCAGACACCTCTGCTGTGCAAAGAAGGACGCCCGTCAGCCGTTCCCTGCCACTGTACGAGTATGGGAGGAATGCCTACACAGCAAGAACCATTCGCAGCAATGCTTCGGCAACCTCTGGGACCTCATTCTCCTATTTCAACACATGCTGGGCAGCAAAAAGCCTACAGACTTTCCAGAAAGGTCTATGATCAGGAAAGCCCATTATTTTGAAAACTGCCTTTTTGACGCTGTCTTTTGAAGACGTAGTTCTCGCAAAGCAGAGATGTAAGGGTGACCAGGACTGCCTCCAGGACACCAGACTCTGACTGTCATCTCTGGGAACAGACCCAGCAGGCTGCACTAGTGCAAAAGAGCATGCTAGCTACTATAAAATGGCAAATATGTTTTCAATTCAGAAGGAAACAATCAATTGATCACACAAAGAAGTCACATCTACTCATTCCAGGGGGACCTTCAAGGTGCTGGTCTGGATTTCTTAAGGTGCTTGATAGCGAAGGACCCACCTGGGTAAGCAGTGCTCTTTTTCTCCCTGTGTGTGACTGAAGAAATAGATGGACAGAGCTACTTTTTCACTTCATTTTGGATTTGGGTTTTTACAGCTGCATCAGAAGGTGAGCTGTAGGCCCATGCTCTAGAGCTGCGCTCCTACCAAAGCTTGACACAGGGTCACTCATGGAGCTGTGGGGAACTGCACGTATAGCAGCTAGATCTTATACATTAAGTATTTGAGGTTCTCATTTCTTAATGTTTACCTTACAGATGTACTCAATGACTAGGGAAGAAGAGGCTTGTGCATTTCTGGTTTTTAGCCTGATTTTCAAAGTCTCTTATCACCTACATGCTCCCTGTTGTGTTCCAAGATATCTGAGTGCCGAGCACTTCCAAAGAGCAGGTGAAAAGAAGAGTGCACATTTCTATATAAAGAGTCTAACTTGCAGCAAATATTTAAATAATGACATTAAAAACAGGGACAAATTTAAAGAGGTTCTGAGAGGTCTAAGAAATTATGACTGCTACTAAGCATGTAAAAGTTTCCTGTGAATGCTTTACAGAAAATTCCTGTTAGAAAAAAGAAAAAAAAAAGAGGTGATCTGAGTGCAGTTCACTGTCACAAGACAGCTACACACACTGACATTACAGCATGGGGCTGTCAGTTAAACAAAAAGCAGCTAATTCTGCAACACGAAACTGCGCAGATGCATAAAGGGTAAAGACAACCAGAGCACAAGTTTGCATGCTGCCTGTTATGTGCAGAAGGAAGAACTATTTCAGTGTTTACTGTAACTGTGCAACACGAGGGGGAGCACACCTACCCCACAGCAGCTCTGGCAGGGCTGCAGAGGGGGAATAGTATTCTAGAAACTAACAGGGATTTCCATATGACTTTCACTGCTGTTACAATATTTTAACATTTTAAAAAAAAATTAAAGCTATCTCTAAAGATCCCAGTGTCAAATAATGAAATAACATTCCTATAAGGGAACAACTGAAGTCTTTCAAAAGATGTTCAACACATAGAAGTGATGAACAGATGTGAGTTACAGACATGAGTGAACCTGGAGCAGATTGGAAATCTGAGAATTAGGCCTTTTTGGATGTTGCTCCGTGAAAGCAACTGGAAACTTGCCAGTGATGGGAGAAGAGTGCACTTGGCCCATGTGGTAAAGGACTCATCGTTTTCAGCTCATTAACTCCAACAGGAATCAGCCAACAGCACCGGATCCAAAATGCGTTCTGCTAGGAAATAAGCTGAAAGAATACCTTAGAGAACGACTTCCAACAAGGGCTGTCTATTGAGTAAACTCTGCCAGAAGATGGCTTTGAAGACATAAGCGGGCTGGTGTGGATGATGAATATGAAGTTCTCATTCTGTACGGTAGCTGAGGTTACAGCTGTTAAGCACCTCACCAGCTCTGGCACCAGAGTCAGGACATCCGACAGATTCAAAGCCATAGGAATTCACGAAGCCCTTGAACTCAGACAAGGGCCAAAAGGCTCTGGCTGAAGCAGAGATCACCAGGGAGTCAGAGGCTTGACAGCACGAGACACGTATGTGACAGCATTGCTTAGACAAAGAGGGAGCTCTGCAGGAGCGGCAGGACTCCTGAAACACAGGTGGCTTCAACAAAGACCCAGGCAAGCAGAGCTACCAGATAAGAACCAGAGGCAAATTCTCACTAATTGTACCTCTTCAGGTGAAAGCAAACAGTACTAATCAAAAGCTCACCTTCTGCTCTGTGACCACAGAGCCGTATGAAGATGTAAGACAGCCTCATCACTCAACAAAAAAAAGACTGATAGCTGTAGTGACTAAAATAGTAAAAACTTGCATCAAGTGTGTGAGCCTACCTGCCAGACAAAATGAGACAACCCTTAAGCTCAGTACCTATGGAGGCAAGAGACTTACTTTGCTATTCCTATTAATCAGTTACATTGCAACATCATCATGCTTTTCACATGCTAGCTATTTTAACATAACATGAAGCTTGATCTCGCTCCTGAGATGAAGTTGTTTAGGATGAGTTATTGCATGAGGAAAGACTGGGTTCAACTGCATTTTTGCAACTCAAAGGAAGATAAATAGAGCAATGCTGAAACTCCCAAAGTTACCTTGTTATGAATAAACACGAGGGCAGGCGTCCATGCTTCCCTTGAAACATGCCACTACCTCCTTTGAAGATGCTGTCTGTTCAAGAAGCACAGGGGCTCCAGCACTCCCTGACTTGTAAGGCATCACACTGTCCAGGATCCATCAGCCAGAGAAGTGAATGAGCCAGGTAACACTGATCCCACTGTCTGCAGTGTCGTACCACAAGCGAATATCATCTTTTGCAGGAAATAAGCTGGAAACTGTCTACAAGCAACAGCAAAACTTCCCTAACACTTCCACCAATTACAGATGAAAGTCTTGTTGTAGAGGAAGCATCTCACCCACTGCAGAGGAGCACCGCGCGAGAGTTTGCTGGGCCTGGTAAAGATTAACAGCCAGGTACAAGTGCTTTCCTCAGATTATCGAACTGAAAAAGAGATACAGACTCCATCAAAAGAATTATCGTTCTGTGTAGCTCACACATTCCTGCAACATTTAAAATGGACCAAAAATTAGAAGTAGGAAAACTGTCCGGAAATAAAACAAAAGGGAAAAAAAAAATTACCAAAAAATACAATGGAGAATTGAGAGCAGCTTAAATACACCTTAGCAGGGGAATGAAAGAACATTTCAGTCTTCAGAGAAACCGGTGCTAATGGACAGTCTTTGCAGTCCAAAATAGATAAAATAACAAACATCTTTAAAGAAAAAGGAAAAATAAAGTGTAATTAATAACAGATTATTTCAGGTATTAAGGAGAATACTGTATAAAGTGCACAACTAGCTTGGTTTTGCAATCAAAACAAGGATGTGGTGAGGTGTCGTCAAGATTGCTCATTTTAATTTATAATACAGCTTAGAATACAGGGGTTGACCTGAGATGCAGCTCTTAAGTACTCCAGTTATTTTTGACCATTGAAATTTTGAAAGCTCACCCTGCACCTGTGATTTAGGAAAAAAAAAAAAGACAAAGTGCCTGTCCTCTGAAGTGCATCGTAGAGATAGGAAAAGTATACATTGGTATGCCAAAAAACTTAACAGGACAGAGAGTGAATCAATAGAAAGACTGAGAAAGATAGATCATCATGAAACTTCCCTGCTTGAGCAGCAGAAGAGGAGTTTAGGGAAGCGTACGTACTCTAACTGAGCTCAAGGACTACACGACGCTTAGGCAAACCATGTTTCATTTGTATTGCAATGGTCTTTGCAGGAACAGTGCGCTGGATGCTTCCAACACTGAGAATAAAATAGTAGTCGCAAATTCAGAAGTGTGTAATGGAAGTGCAGTAAGGGAGGTGTGACACCAGGAACAGTGATCCTGAGCACACAGTGGTCATGGCATTGCACCTGCCAACGTGCAAAGGTTTATAAAGGTTGATGACGCAGCAGAGAAGTGGTTCTAGAGGCATTTGCAAGACAGGAACGAATCTATACTGGTAAAGAGATGGCTGAGAAAAAGGCAACAATAGGAAAATGCAACAGAATTCAGTTTGAAATAAAAAATCAGAAAAATAATCACTGCAGCAATATTAAAAATGTGTTTCAGATAAGACTTCTCTGTGTCTCAGCTTGTATTTGTAAAGGGGAATATTAATTCTCAATGATCTAATCACAGCACTTTGAGGATGGTGAACAAAAACCTAGAATAATACTATAACAAAAGAAGGATGCAATTTTGGTGCTGGGGAAAAAAGGATGGTAACAATGAGATAAAGTGGAGCATAACTGTGGATCAAATGAAACAGTATGGTTTGGGAAATTGTAGATAACAACACAGTAAACACTGAGTAAAGGCCACAGTGGTGACAATCAAGGTTTCTGCTGGATCTAAAGCAAGAATCTTAAGAATCTTGGCATTGTATGAAATGCTGAAAAATATATTAACAGCAACACTGAATAATCAATCAGAAATAACAGCAGGAGAAGAAAATGAATACCTTTTCAAAACCAGTCTCCAAACTATGTAACACTATGTGCCAAGAGCAGTGTTGAATTTTTGGTAGTTTGCGGTAAGGGTAACAAAGGGAAAACCTAAGGTTAAGAATCTGATGGTGCAGAAGTGCTGGGCACCTACATCTACATTTAATGCAATCTAGCATCACAGATTCATGGCATCTTTGAAAATCAGGCTCTAAAAAGATAAAACCCACAATTTAGCTGGACAAATTTGGTAATTAAAAATACCTAAAGGCTGTGATATTCACCTGAAGGAACCAACAAAGGGCAATTTAAATCTGGATCCCAAATAAAATGTTAGAGGACACCTTGCATAAGCAGGAAAGGTTTTGAACATCTCATTTATTCCTTGGTATATAACCTCTTTCTGTCATTGAGGGCACTCAGACAGCTAATGAGGTAGGTATAGCACACCCAAGTCTTTCCTGATAAATAACGGTGATGGTAACACTTTCAACCTTATTGATTGGTCTAGAACAGAAATCATGATGATAATGGGTTTATGTATCCCTGAGAGGGAGTATAAAACAGGAAGAACAGGAGTCTTCTCCATAGATTTTGGGAGAAGGGCCATCACTTCACTGCCATGGTGGGAAACTGTTTTATGAAATAAATGTATTCGCACAACATTGCTGTGAGATACGTGTGTTTTATAGATGGGGGAGCCAGAGAAGTTAATTGACTTGCCTATGGCCACGAAAGCAGTCAGTGCCAGACCTGGGATTCATGATCAGGACTTCCTTGCCTCCTACATCATGTTCAAACAGTTATCTACTTGCTGGCCAGAGGCTCACTGCATGGTTGTTCTAACATACTGTATAAAGATAGTCATGCAAGGGATGTAGCACAAAGTCACTGAAGAACAGAGCTCTCTCTGTACCAGAAAGCAGATTTCTTCTGGAAGCTGCGTGCAATTGGGAACCTCTGGTGGGAAGCACACATCTGGTTTCTTCACCCTGGAATGTCTGGTGTTTAAGGCTTAGCACAATGAGGACCATTTTAATGACTAAATGTAACAGAGAGAGCCCATACAGGCATAAATTACAAGGTGTCTGGTAGTGGAACAACCTTTTCCCTATGCTCTTCTGACCCATAAAAAACAAACATTAGCCTGGTTAATTCAGTGGACTCATCACATACAACTATAGATCAGTCTATATTTCCATGTCCACAGGTCGGATATCTCCAGTTTTGTGTTCTTTTACCCACAGTTCCCTGTCTTTGGCAGGATCCACTTTCCGAAGCAACTGATCCACGAGCTCTACTGTCTAAAACGAACAAAACAAGAATCAAAATGTCAAGGGCGCATTTCAAGCAGAGACAGTCATTGCTCTGAAGCGTAGAGCAGCTATGGGCACGCCTACGTTGCATTTGCAGACAAGTAAGAACTGCACGTATGTGAGACTCGGTGGACAACAGCCAGATCTGAATGTGAAGCCTCGCAGCAGGAAGCAGAGAAGAGGCAGACTTTAACGTCAAGCAGAGACAGGCTTCCTATGCCAGGCATCGGCCAGTCGGTCTCTGACTCCTGTCCTGCAATCCGTACCTTACACCAAATACAACCATGTACTGAGGTTGGCATTCATCCCCTGTATTTTAATATTTGAAAACTAGCCAGTTTTTTAGTAAGAAAAAAATATATACTCCCTCCCCCAACAGTGAAACTGTTTACCATCTTCCTTGCAAGAATAGATGACCTCAAGGAGTAGTGCATCATGCTGGGAGAACTAATAATGGTTCATGCTGGCCAAACGTAATTCAATTCATTGTGTCTCCCCAGCAAAAAGCTGTGATCCAGCAGTATGAAATGTAACTAGGATCAGAGAGTCTTGGAGGAGCAAGGCTGTAGAGTGGCAGTACAGTACTGCTGCAAACTAACAAGCTGACCACATACACTTTTCACATCTCCTTTTGATACAGATCAGTCAGATCAGGATAGGGACTGTTCTGCTCAGCTGAAGTGCAGTAAAGACCAAAGGGACCAAACAAAAAGCAGACTTACACTTTGGTTGAACATGTCTGTCTCATGCCGCAGCTGTGTATACTGGCAAAGATGCTGCCGAATCATCTCCACCCTTTCAACTTCTAGTCTCTCAAGCTCCTGGACACGAAGAAAAACAAGTCCATATTTTTCTTGGAAGCTGAGCTTGAAGGCCCAGAGAAAGGATGACACACGAAAGGTTGCCAGTCAGTGCAATACTACCCCAGGGTCACGCTTTGGGGCTGAACTCTGTGGTTGCACATCCCTGTGATTTGCAGAGAATCTGAGACAGCAAGCAACAGAAGTCACTTCAGCCTGAGCCTAATAACAGAAAAGAAGGTCGAAACCTTTCCAAACCTGAGACAACCAAGGCACAGAGAGGAGCTACTGTCTTCAGGGATGCTGCAAGCAAGAGGGAATCCGTTTCCTGCAAGAAGCTTTGCATGCTTTGTTGCTAGCTCCAGAAGTTACAGTGGTTCCTTGGGGAAGCAGGAGACCACGTTGGGGCGTATGGCTCAGAGGGCCTGACTGCCTTCGGTCTAGCCAGACACCTGTAAGAGCAGTTTTATCTGTTCAGCAGATGATGAGCTGGGACAAGTCTGCACCTCACTCAGCTGGCAGTAAGCAGACCCCAGCAACCCTTTAGTTGAAAAGGCAGGTGATTTCCAACTTTCCTCCTGATTTCTTCTGCCTCCCTCTTCTCCTGGATTCTGACATTATACCCCAAAATTTGCATTTAGTCCCTCCTTGTCCATCTGAGCAGCAGCAGTGGAAGCAGCATGCTATGGAAGTCTGCCTTTAAAGACATATACTGTAATGGACTTCGCTGTTTTACTAGAAAGCTCTGTATTCACAGGGACATCAGTGTGGCCAAATCTTAAAAAACCTGCCTTCAGAGGGCATTTCTGGTGTCCATCATGGTGGAATGCAAACTGAGCACATACAAGCAGGCAGGCTGCTACATTGCCTTCCCTGTGCTATCTGCAATTTGTTAAACGTCTTTTGCGAAACAGATCCTTCATTACAGCACAAAAATCTCAGGTGGCAGACTACCTGCCTGGGGAGGAAGAAGAACAAAGGAGCTATGGTATGGACAGGACTGAAATAGACTGAGCTCCTATTACTGTTGCTGGTTGATGTATTGCCCTTATGGAAAAAATGGCCCACTTTGAACTCAGACTCCCTTACTTAGGGCACAGATGCGCAGGACCAGAATGCAGAACCCGGTGTGCTAGTGCTGGTAAGCAGGCCATACGCAGAACATGCATTGTATCTGCACCAGAAACTTCAGGGAGGAAGGTACGCAAGGAAACACAAATCTTCAGACCTTGACTCTCTCGACTTTGTATTGCATATGAACTAATCTGCATCTGAGCTGATCAGATGCAGACTGTTTTTCAATTTAGATTTTACATTCATGTACACCAAGACTTACCTTCAAATGCTCCTCAGCCTGAGTTTCATAACTGACAAACCTGCTGTGCAGCCTGCAGGCTATGACGTCCCTCTTGAGCTATCTACTAGAGCACTTCTGAGTCGTACTTCTCCGGGAGCAAATATGCAGCTAACATATACCTGGCCGTATTGGGACACAGTGGCACTGATGGCCAGTGTCATCTGCATCAGTGAAAAACCACCAGTGAAGGTGAGAGAAGAATCAGATCCCTTATGTAAAGGAACAACCAACTTTTTCTCTCTTGTTCTGCTTTTGGGAAGATATCTGCCTCCTGGTTTTCCACTCACCCATCTGCCTTTATTTATTTACTGCAGTTTAAATATTGCACTGACACACTTCCAAGTGCTGAGCAATTTATTACCCTGCTTCTTATTAGGAGGAGTTTACACTTTTGTGTTTATCCAATGAGAAAAATACATGCAAAAGACACTTTCATCTCCCACTTTTGAAAGCTATTGGCTGTTATCCAAAAGGGTCCAAGGAATGACATGAGGGAGGAGCCCTAAAGGCAAAGTACAAGTATTTCAAGGAATACAGCACATCAAAGCTGTATCTTGGCATCTTGGTGACTAACCCCAAAGGTATACGCCCTTAGGGTGAATACTGTGAGCTGTGTTATCTTCAGAGAAACAGAACAATACGTAATTAAAGCATGCCTCTTCTGAGCTGGCAATACTCACAAAGAAATCGTAAACTCATGGAATACAAAAATTCATTAATGTATAAATGGATTCAGTGATGTATCACATGTTTTTCCATGTCTTCCTTGTGCATTACTTCACCCTTCCTGGGGACAATTCCAGTGTTCTGGTCCCTAAGCAGCCCTGAACGGGTTTAATGCCTTCTGCAAAGAAACAATTATTTCTTCCTTCCCCTAATGATATGAGTTTTTCTTAGAACTGAGAATGGGCAATACAATGGGAGATTTATCACCCATTTTTTCCCAGTGCTTTGCACTGTAACTAGCTATGAGTGACGAATGTTGTAGGCTATTACAATTTTGGAATCTTATACATGCAAGATGCTACACAGAGTTACATACCAGAGTGGTGGTCACCATTTCCTCAAACCACTTGGACTGGGCTTGATTGTAAAGATCCACGCAGCGCATCAGGTCATCTCCTGAAAAGATCAAGATAGCAACACATTAGTCTTCTCTAGCCCGTGTCAGGGAGCTTAGAAGGAAATTGCAGTTCAGGTTTTGCAGGCAGACCCAGAGGGTTTGAAGGTCAGTCCTGGTGGAGCTGAAGGCAGTTCTGTTACATGGTATTTGTTAGGTGCAACAAAATTTCAACAAAATACATGCACTTGATGTGTGGTAAAAGATCAGGTGATTGGGGTGAGAAAGAATGAGGGGGAAAAGACAAGATTTTGAAAGGAAAATATGAACATTAAGACATTTACAAAATTTACATTAACATTTACAAAATGCCCAGAACTATGAAAGCAAGTTACTTCAGTTAAAAAAAAAAAAAAAGGTCATAGACAGAAAGTTATATCTGAAAAATAAAATAATTAAAATGGGAAATCAATAATAATGAGTTATTGAGCTGCAGGGTAGCAGTGTAGGTGAGACTGCATTCTAAGACGGATCTGTTTAAATCGGGAGCGAAGCGTCAGGCTCAAGCTGTCTGAGATCGAGGGATGCTTATTTGCAACCTCAACCCAGTTTCACACTCATGCATTCTCCAGCCTCTGAAGATGCACGATTCCAGTCGAGCTCTGGCTTCCTCCCATGTTCAGGGCAGTAACACAGTAAGCTGTGATTATTTCAATTTTTTCTTTGTTGCAGGACTCTGCTCTGACAGAGAGGGAAAGGTGGATGGAAAATCTGGAAGGCATGTCTCGGGGATTACTGCTTTCTGACTAGTAAATTCTCTTTCTTCTTTAAACGAGGCTCAGTTACGCTTTCCCTAATGGTTTGATGCCTAAGTTCAGGGCTCAAATTCATCCTGTTTTTTTAGGTGCAAAAAGGTCTTTATACATAAACTGGGGACAAATCAAGCTTGAAGAACAGGACTCCATAGACCAAACAAGTGTCAAAGAAGTAAATGCATCTGGAAGTCTCTCATGGACTTAGAACTTGGGCTGGCAACCAAACTCTATGAAGAAACCAGGATTCGGGGCTTAAAGCTCGGCCATAAGCTTATCCACCCAGACAGGGGATGCCTAGTCTGACATGACAAGTCTGAAATAATGGCTCCCACACTCCAGGAGGCTCCTCAGAAGCCATCTGACTTGGGGTTATCCTCCACCCACCCGAATGAATCTGAGCCACTGTACAGCCAGGAACATGAAAGCCATGAAACACATGAACAGTCCATAGGAGCAGAAAGCAACGCCACGTACCAGTAACAGGTGGGATTGTAGAAGGGCTCTGGTCTAGAGCTCTCTAGTCCTATCGTCCACTTGCGGCAGGCCTCATTTCAAAGCCAGATCACTATGGGCTGCTGCTGTGTGCATCGCAAGCACCCCAGCTGGGCTGCTGGGTGGGACTACCTGCGGGGATAGGGCAAGTCCTCCCCTGCCACACACCCTAACAGTGGCAGAAAGTGGGGGAGAGTGATGGGGAGACTCACACCAAACTCTGGGTTATTCTCATCTGATCTTCAGCTCTCCCTTGCTTGTTTAATAAATATCTATTACAATTTCTGAAGACCCAAGAGAACACAGAGAGGCTGTGAATTTGCAGACAGATAAAGAGCATCTCTCATGGAGCCTCCTGTCACTAACATGTAGCGTTTGTTTCTCCTCAAATGGTTGCCTATACACATGGTCACACTGCAAATGACTCTTCTCAGTCTCCTCAAAACACAGACAGGCTATCCTGAATTTTTAAAAGCCTCAGAACTATGAAGGACCACTTTGCCAAGGAATGGACCTATGAAGGGATGAAACATGGAAGCCCTAGTTAAAACATATTTTCAGTACAGGTACTAACAGAGCTGCACATATCAGCTTTGCGGATCTCAAGAGAGACAGTTCCTGATGGATCCTGTAGAAGTGGCTTGAGCCTCTGTAAAACATGCATAGGTCACATCAAGTAGCTGTGTCCTCAATACAGTACAGCCCACACTACTATATCCTCAGTATCCCTTGAACAGAAATCATTTTAATCACTGAGTAGCAGTGGAAGAAAGACAAGAAGTTCACTTTCAAGGAAAAAGACAGTAATAGGAAGCATAATAGGCACCCACATAGTTGTGGGTGACTGTGATTTAGGAAAGAACCAAAGAAAGAACTATGATTTAAGGAAGAAACATCCTCAGCTGAGCTTCTTTGAATCTGACTTCGAAGAGTTTCACAAACATTGTTATCTCAGCACACTTTCACAAAACAAAAGGACAATTCACCCTCCTTTTACTGTTCTCACCCCAATTATCAAAATCATCATTTTGTGACGTCTGACTTGGAAAAACTGAGCTTGTTTCTTCTGAGGATTTAACACCAAACAGATTTGTAGCATGGTTCACTTTGACTTTGTAGCTACAATATTAAAAACCAAGAACCACGTGGGCGGATGGGCAGTTGCATCCCATCTTGTTCCTGCCATCCGCGGGGCTGCGCTCGCCTCCAGGTGCTGACAGACACAGGTACTCACCCGCCTGAGTGGACTTCCGTCTCGCCTTCTTAATTTCCTCTTCTGTCTTGTTGCTGAGCTTCACCTCTAGCTGCTGTGTTTTCATTTCCAGATCCTTCTGTCTCTCTGTCAAGGCTTTCCGGGCCTTGGAGTAATTAAAGAAGAGTCACATGTTTTAGAGGAAAAGAGCTGCCAGCTGCTTTCAGCCATCTATGACTCCTCCATACAAGTATTTGTCAGTAAGAAGTCAGGGACTTTGCATACAACTGGGTCCTAACTGGGATTCAAGTTCTTAGGACACCATGTGGTGTTCAAAGAAGTGTCCTACCACCCTATAGAAGTTGTCACCAACAAATCACAAAAGCATGTGAACTCTTCATAGGTTCTTAGAAAGGCACAGTACAAAAGGCATCATCAGACTTTCATGTTTCTTAGTAATTTTTGCACTACTTCTGGAAGAAAGGGGAGCTGGAGCTTCTTCCAAATGTCTTAACCAGCATCACCAAGACACCTCTTCCATTTGCTTTTCTTAGGAACTAAATTGTTGAAAGAACTTCAGGTATCTTATAAAATTTATTTTGAAGTACCTTCTGGATTCAATATACAATTATCAGAAACTCTAACAATAGGAACTTTTAGACTTATTTCAGAAAAACTAATTCAGGTTCATGACAACAGCAGTTCGTACTGCAGAAATCAAGAACCTGAGACCTGGTTACAACTGATTATTTAAATTACTTTACTTTAAAGTTCTTCAGGCTTTTGAAACCTGATTTATCAGTATCATTACTGAACTTATACAGGCAAATTAGTAAAGTGTCTTAACAAATAAACATCACTACCACATTTGCATGCTGTCACCTCATTTCCTGAGGTTGCCTAAATACATAAAATAAAAATAACTTGTTTTGCACGGACTTATTATAAAATAGGTCACATCTGTTCTTTATCCAGTTATATTGTTTAAAACTAAATTTGGATGATCATATTTTGTTAGCAGCTTGCAGTTTTCTACAGCCACACCAGCCTGCAAGTTACAGTGCTCTTGAGGCATTACTTGAATTTTTTCAATTTGCAGTTTTAAAGACCCTGTACTTGGTTCGGCAGGTCGCAAGAGGGAGCTGCAGGAAAGCAATCTGGTGAGAAGCTGTGTGCTTCATCAGGCACACTGCAGACACAGCTTTTCCCTTTTTTTATTCCTTCTTCTCAAGGCTATTCTAATTCATTCTTTTCAATATTCCTACTGAGGACTGTATTTCTTTGCAGGTATGACTGTGAAGAACTTACTGTTTTGCAGAAAAATGCCTTCCCTACATACATACAGTCTAATAACCTTGTGTATCCTGCAACAATTCTGTCCCTGTGCGAACTTTCTCATGTGCACTCTGATCTTTAATGAAAGCCCAAACAACCTTCTGGGTTGACTAAGCACGGTATTTTCCTTTCCAACTTACACCCAAGAGCAAACCGCATGAGGATACCGTTTGGCACAAGCATCTTGGCAGCCGAGGTATGGGTATTCCGTTTCCTGCCAGCTGCTGATAAGAGAGCACTTTTTGTGGGTATAACTCTCCCTAAATCACAACCTCAGCTACCTACTGGATGTTCATGTTAAAACAGCCCCTGATGCTAGGGTGCTGCTGACGTTTGCATTTTTCAGGTGAGGATGTTTGCTGTGAGGCACAGAAAACAGGAACTGGGAGAGGGTTTGTGACTTGCCGTGCCAGGTTCGAGCTGCCTTCCTTGGCCATCTGCTTTTGGCCACTGCACGAGAGGATACTGAGCCAGGCGAGCCTTTGGCCTGACCCTGCTGCTATTCTAAGGCAAGGTTTTTTAAATTTTGAGGGAAATATACGTGACTTCCAGATGCACACGAGCAAGGAGTATTTTCATCAATGTGTTAGAAATATATTGTCCCAAATTGGGAAGGGGAGGATGAAAAAAAAAGCCAGTTCAGTAGTAATGTGTTAGCCCTGGATGTAGCCAGCTTCCCAAATCTCAGCTAAGCAGCAAACCACATCAGGGGCCTGGCAAAGCATAACTAACAGCAGAAAGCACTCAGCAGAAACCTTTGTGGTTCTTTGTGGCAGAGCAGAAACTTTTAAAGGGGCAGCTGCTTTTCTGTCCAAACCAGCAGTATCTCATAAACTCTCCAGTTTATTCTCTGCTCCCACCTTTTCAACTGCTGCGTAGCGGCTGGCCAGATGCTTCCGTAAGTCTGCAATATGGTGGTCACACTTCTTCATGTCTTTCTTAAAGTTCTCTCTGAAGTTGAGCAGGGGTTTCTCTACCTCACTCTGAAGCTGGTAATGAAAACAAAGGAAGAAATGGCAATAATGAGGAGCCGGGCAGTAATTCCTAGCTCTTCTGCTGAGCAGAGCTCAGGACAGAGAGGAAACAATACACACACTGCAGCCAAAGGCAATGGCATACAGCAACACTTCTCTTCCCCAGGAGAGCTCTGAGTGAAGCTACCGCAAAACTCAGCTCTTCGCAGGACAGCTCTGTTAAGGGAGTATTTACTGAAGGGAGCAAAAGGACAGAAATCTTGTCTTCCTCTCTCCCTGTTAAATCATCTCTCTCTTCTTACACATAAGATCAAACTGCAGGCAATATCCAGAGCACTACTTGAGGTGCTCTGATTCTGGCCTAACTGATGCAACTTGCTTAAAAACACCAAAGTACACAAACTAAAGCCACTAACCCTGACTGCAATAAGGTCAGTCAGTGGACCATGGTGACACGTCTGTTTCTTGTATAGTGAAAAGAGATCCAATAAGGGCACATTTTATTTATTTCTGTCAAGTATAAGGGAGCCTAAAGAGAAGCCTGAATATTTAGTTGAAACTCTTTAAATAGTGGCAAGAAACCACTGAAATGAACTCAGGAGAGATCCATAAAGACCGCACATGTGACTTATCTCTTACAAGCAGGACTTGACAGTTGGTAATACTCAACTCTGATAGAGTTTGTATCATATTGCTCTTTGGCCTTCTGATACACAGTTTTGACATCTAGGAAGTGTACTCTGAAAGGATACAGATATTTCACCTCCCTAGAAGCAATCAAATACTTCCTTGCTATCGTCCCTCCTGTGGGGATGCCGGACTCCATCAGTGCAGGTGAGTTGGGTCCATAATCACCTAACATGGCCCACAGTGGAGCAGTAACAAATAGTCCCTGAAAGCAAGTATTTTCAACCTTTCTCCAGTGCTATTTTAATGGAGAAGGAAACTTCATTCAGTCTCAGTACAGCCTTTTAATGGAGAGAGGCTACAAAGACAGCCAAGGCCCTACAGCACACATCCTAGAGAGGTTTATTTAAGCCTAAAGCAGATGAAGACTTGTTTAGGCAGTTGAAGACTGGCACCACAGTGATCTAATAAGGCCTACAGCTATCTGAAGGTCAGATGCAAGGGTAACAGAGCCAAATTCTTCTTTGCAGGGCCAGGCAACGTCACACAGACAACTGAGTATTGGGAGGTTCAGGTTAAATGTAATTTAAAAAAAAAAAGAAATCGCCAGAATGATAGCTGGGCACAGGAACCGGTTGACCAGAGAGGTTGTGAAATCTCTGTCCTTAGAGATATTCAAGACTCTGCTAGAGAGTTTAAATGTAATTTTAAAAAAAAAAAATCGCCAGAATGATAGCTGGGCACGGGAACAGGTTGACCAGAGAGGTTGTGAAATCTCTGTCCTTAGAGATATTCAAGACTCTGCTAGACAAAGACGTAGCTGACTTGATCCACTGTGGGTGATAGTCCTGCTCTGACTGGCGGGGTTGGACTAGAAAATACTGGACAATATTTTTATGACAGTCTCATCAGGATGGCCCCCAGGCAAGCTAATAAAGACCTGTTCACAACTCTGTGGTCCAGCATGGTTAGATAAGCTCTCTCAAGAACAGAGGTACAAACGGATAGCTGTGCCAGGAGCATGTGTCAATGCTCAACAAAACAAGAACTGGAACAGAGAGAAGTTCAGGGTGGCTTCAGTGAACTCCAGAAGCAATATATTACAATTGACAGAGAGGTCTGTGTCCAACGGAGTTTGAAGTAGCTAAACAGTCTGCATGCCCTTCAGACTGCTCCATTCATAAATGGATTAACCTGGGTAAACAACCCAACATGAGTCAATCATCCTCAGTGGAAGAAGTGGCAACCTGACTCACCTGACATAACTAAGCATTGCTGTGAAAACCCTTATAAAAATCCCCAGGGGCACGGACACACCAAACAGGAGGGCATTTCACTGGTATTTCTACTTGCCTAATAGAAAGTAAAGATATTTGTTTATTTCACATGGTTTGTGTGGGACGGGAAATTCTGAGATCCTCATAAAGATGGGAAATGCATCATCAGGAGGCTCAAAATGTAAACAAGGCAACTGCTTTCTCCAGTTCTGTGTTCTGGGAATCAAAGAGGCGGACTTCTCAGTGAAGGCAAGCATCTTTCCTCTAGCATCATTATCCTGCTTGAACTTCCACCTTGCAAGAGGTACCAGAAGCTATCAAAATACTCACATGTGAATGACCCAGGCTTTTAAATGTTGCATTATAGTTGGCCATATTTATTCTTTTTTCTTTTTTTTTGCTAGAAGATCTTGCTAAAAGACTTTTGAATGCATGCAATAGATGAAAAAACCATAAACTACTTTCCTAAGATGAAGAGATTTAAAGCACCAGTGTATACAGACAACTCTGACACTTACCCATCACTGAATGGGTGAGATGTGACAAAGGACTTGAAATCTCAAGAAGTTTCCTAAAAGAAGTTATCAGGTATAGAACAGAGACCCTGTACCTCTGTACCAGTATGGTAGAGACTTAGGCAGAAAGACAGAGACATAGGGTTAACCACAGTATTAGATGCTGGAGAAACTACACAGCTGAGTTATCAGAAACCACACTTCAAAAATTCCTCTGATTTCACAAGTACTTATTTTTTCCTTTGCTCCATCAGCACCATTTCCAGAATGGCTGGTAACACACGATCATACCCAGGACAGCCCACCATGATTTCAACTAGCACAACATGTGTGCACCTTCTCTTCCAGCAGAACTCACCTCCTGGAGCTCAGTGAGGGATAATCCAATAGCTGGAGAAGAGGTTCAGTGCCATGATGGCCTTCTTGAAGGATTCCTCGTGTGCATGTATCTACAGCTGCCATGCCAGTCTGTACAGGCATTAGTAGTGTAATAATATTTTATGTTCCGAGTGCCATGAGAGGGCTGTCACCTTCTCCGATCTGTTCATGACCCCCAATGTAACAGTGCTGTGAAGGACTGTCACAGAAGTTGTTCAATGCCGTCATGGCTGGTGTTTATGTTCGAATATTCTTGGTGTGCTCTGCACTGTACTGACTGCTTTGTGTCAGCACTGACTGGTTTCCTTTGACTATCAACGAGAAATATAATTACTACTTCTAAGAATAACTTCTCTGATAGCAATAATCAATATGTTTAAAAGCATACTCTCTTAATAAAAGAAAGCCGGAACTAGGAACTCCCAAAGCAGGTACAGGAACAGTGAGGAGAGTTCAGAGGATGCTACAGGAGTTTCTGTGCAGGGTTTAAAGAAAAGTAAAATAATGAAAGAACCGCTATACATTGCCTGCCTACACGCACAAACCACTCCAGGGTGCATTTCTTCCTCCTGGAAAACAATACGAGAGGACAACGGGGAGCAAAAAGTATTTCACTAATTACAGCCCTGAAGCAGAAGTTCGAAGCAGAGCAGTGGGTTACCAAGGCAGCGGCTGGTTGCCTGAGTAACCTCTGCATAATCGCTTACAAACAGTGTAGAGCTATAATTTTCCTCCAGAACATGGCTGTTGTGCTGAGATATCTGCCACTGTATTGAACCTGATCACCCACAGAGGTTAACATAATGTAACAGGACGCAAGAGTATGTCACATGTGGTGGAAAAAAACAGATAAATACCATAATTTGTATAAGAAATCTGCTTGGGCACCACTTGAGAGAAGATCCAAAAATAACATGAAGCAAGTTCCCAGTGCGCTTTTCAGACAGGCTAACAATACAAAGAAGTCAGAGTCCTGGTTCTCTTCCTTCCAGACAGATACAGTAGATTCTTGTTGGGAAGGCAAATATTATTTTTTATTTCTTCCTCTACAGAAGTAATCCGTACAAGCTCTAGGTAAATTTACTTGAACAGGCTGGAACTTAGAGCCCTAGGTGAATAACCTCTAGAATCAGTTTTCCTTCTTTTTTATGAAAAATTAAGGCTAGATGTGTTTTAACTTAGTCAACAGGTAGATTAAATAAACTATGATTTTGGAGGAAGAATGGATAGAGTTTCAGTAAGTTTGTTCACCAACTTATTAATTCTTCTAAATTTGTACCATATGCACGTATATTTTCCCCACTAACAAGCACTGAAGGAAGATCCACATCAATTACAGGGCAAAAATCTTTGCAAAAGGAAGAACTATTTACCTTAGAAGAAAATTTGAGATGAACCTCTGCTTCATCAGCTAGACTCTTCTTTAGCTGAGCCCAAGCCTCTCCTAGTGTGCTGAAAGAACACAGAGCGACAATGATCAATGCTCTGTCTTCTGCACGTCCTCCCAGCGAGATTTGTCAGATGGTGTCATATAGATATGGTACAACGCTTTGTACCCTATCATGCTCAGCAAAATCACGGAAAAGTGATAGCAGAAATCTAAGAAGATAACCGATCTCTGTGACCAAGGCAGAATTATACTGGCATTGTATGTAGCAGATCTTTGAAAACACTGTTCATAACGATCTCCAGTTACAGAGATGCCACAGTCCCCATAAACAAGATACTTCAGTATCTTATCCTTACCATAGCCAAGATTTTCTTTTCTAATCCTTAAAATAAATCTTCACCAATGCAGTCTTCCCATTGCCTCTTCTACTTTACACCCTACCTTTGGTGAACAGATTATTCTACTTCTCCTCGGAGAAGCCTTTCAGTATTTGAAAATTAAGAGGTTTTTTTCTCCACCTTCTTTTTCCTTCAGACAAATTATTTTCTAGACGACGGCAGTTTAGGTACGCTCCTCTAGACCCTCTCCAACAGCCTAGATTCCTCTTAATGCTTCATAACCAAAACTACGCCATCTTCCAGCAGAAGTCTTCCAGTTGCTAAACTGGTAACAGATTATTTTGTATCAGGCACTCTTTCTTCTACATATCTCAGTATGATTGCTTTTTTAGACAACAGCGTGAAGTTGTTGACGAATAAGCTTGTGATTCACTATAGCCAGATCCTTCTCCCACAAACTGTTATGTAACTGTATCTTTCACATCCTGTGAAAGTATAAAACCTGGTACTTTGTCCTCATTGAAATGCATCTTAGTTTTTTTCCGTTCACTTCTCTAGTTTAACAAAGTAATTCTGAATTGCAATCTTTTCTTCAAATTGTACACACCATCCCTCCTAGCTTTGTCTCATCTCTGACTACAGTAAACCCCTTATTTATTCTATCATAAGTCATTAACAGAAACACTGAAAAAAATCTGGACTTGGGACGAACCTTATGGGATCTCACTCCATAGCTACTTTCTGCACTTTACTTTTTGTAAGTAGCGGGTATGATTTCTTACCTAGTTTTGCACCTTAGGCTTTATTTAGGTCACATTTCTCTTGCCTGCCTACAAGAATCTCTCATTGCAAAAAGCTAAACTAAAATAAGAGCTATGATGCTGATGACTTCTGTTATTCCATCACCAGAGGAATTTAGGTTGATTTGACATTGTTTGTTCTGTATGCATCCACAATAATTGCTCATCACCTTAGTTTTCCGCTGAGTGCTTCTAGAAAGCTTGATGGTTTATTCTACCACTTTGCACAGGTTATATAAAACTGACTGATCTACAATTTCCCTGCTCCTTCTCTCTCTCCCCCACGCCCTTTTCAAAGATAGTCATATTTGTCCCTTCCAGGTAGCCCGAAAAATTGCCTGTCATCTGCAATTTCAAAATAATGATCTGTAATTTCTGACGTTGCTCCAATGAGTTGAGTCCTCAGGTATGGTGTTCATCACAGCTAAACAACCTGAGATTGTTTCACCTAGGTAAGTGCTCCCAACTCTTCTCTTTCCCTAGTCCCACCCTGAGGTCCCCACCCACTGTCCAGTTCTCACTGGTACTATTTTATCTGATCTATTTAAGTAAAGAAGGCATTTCAGTCTGCTAAGCATCTTCTGCATCTCTTATCCAACCACAATGACTTAAATGACCATGGATTGTATCACCTTCTGTGTACGTGCAGCAGCACTGTACTCACAGAAACTTGGACAGAACCATCCTGATACCACAAATAGGTCCCATCTCGTCACCCTCAAGTCGCACTCATATACATGATGGTGGGTCTTCTTACCACCAGAGGAGGGCAGAGGACCCTGGAGGGACAGCCCATACTTTGTGTCAATTCCATAGACTGCTGGACAGCAAAGTTGGAAAATGTTCTGTGGAGTATGAAACCAGCAGTGGTAACTGGTGTGTTCACAGAGCAGTTCACAGGATCCCCCAGCTCACACCTTCTCAGAAATCAGAGGAAGACCATGGTGAATGTTTACTTTGAGTGTGTTAGGCTGCAGTTCCACTTTTGACTCCTTCAAATCCTCCTGTTGGCTGCTCTTCTTCCCTCACTTTTTTAAATGGAATTTTTCCCTTTCCTGGGCCTCACCAATAACCAGGATCTTCTCACTAGCCTCTTCCTGGTCCTAGCCAATTTGGCCACCACAGCACCTTCCATTCCCTCATCTTGCCACCTCTCCAGGCAGAGCACCACCAGGCAGTGTTCCTAGCTCCCTGCACTCTGCTCCATGTCCCCTTCAGTTCCCTACTTCAAGATTTTTTATGATTCGGTCCTCATTTCCTTTCTTTTCATCTACTCTCCCCTAGCTTCCTTCCCCTTCATTTTTTCAGGCATTCCCCCCTTCTCCTATTGGGGGTAGGAGAAAGTGGGAGGAGGATGTGGAAGAAAGCAGTTTAGGAGGCTAACACCCACCCCTAAAGGGGAAAGAAGAACAGAAACTATCATCAGTGTAGGTGCTTAGAGAAGTAACAGCCCAGTTAGCCTCTTGCAATTTCTGTCCTTGCCTACTGGAAGCTGAGCAAACACCTCGTGGAGCTTCACTGCCAGTAGAAACACACTGTGTCAGAACTAGGGTGAAGACAGTCATTTCCAACCTTGGCTTTCAGTGCTTAGGGGGGTTGTGTCAGAACAGAGAGAGCTAACAACTTCTAATCCTTCAGGAGTTGTGTCTTTTCATTATTACCAAAGAATTACAATCTAGTCTGAAGTGCATTGCCTAATACCTTCTTAATAACTTCCAAAGTGTGAATATGCTGTAAATATGGGACAACCTGCTGCTTTTCTTGGAGGGCCAGACCCAAGATGAGAAGAGACTTCTTCCTCCCTCTGTCTGTGCTGCTCCAATTCTACTGGCCTGACTTTATGGATCTACTATCAGCAGTATATATATTCCATATATTCTTCCATATTCAAAGTAATTTAGTACTTATACATGCTAATCCCTAAAGGAACTAGTGCTGGCTAGAACAAGGATAGCATTCCCACATTATTGGAAATGCAAGGTTTTATACAGATATTCCTAAAAATTTACCATGAACATCTTCAAAAGAAAAATATTCCAAAGCAATTCTACCTTCCTCAACACACCCAGGATGCCAAGCTAAATAAACCTCTACTCAATAGGAGAGCTCAGGAAAAATACATGTACCAGTGTGGGAGGAATGCCTTTTATGTTAAAATTGTTGTCTTCTGCAAAAGTCACAGAGACACACTTACCCTTCTTCCTGAGCAGCCAAGGAATTCTGAGACAGTTTGGACAGGTTCTTAGCATATTCCTCCTCAATCTTTATCCTACACACACACACACAGAGAAAATAAAAAGACAGCAGTAAGTAAGCTTTAAGGCAGAAACCCACACACATAATTTAAAGAAATTCTCTGCATTTTAACAGATCTTGCCACAGGAATTTTCCTTTCAGTCTCCAGCGCTTGGCAGCACCAGTTTCAGAATCCATCTCTCCCCTCCATATGCTAAAAATGCAATGGCAAGAGCAGGGATATACGCAGGACAGCATGCGCGATAAAATTAGAAGAAAAAGCTACAGTTCTGGACAGCAAATAACAAGGACAAAGTGTTTCTACTGTGCAACATGGACTGTCTGCAAAACTGGGTTCACTTGAGAAGCATGTGTTTCAGTCTGCTGCTAAACGTGATGTTGCACATCCTTGAAGTGAAGATGAAGGAATGCAGCGATACAGGAGAAATCCAAATGAGGTTTGGGGTGCTGGACTGCACCTTTCCTAGGGACACCGAATGCTTCCTGATCCCCGTTACAGACAACAAAGCGGGTGAAGATGTGGCAGGGGCTTCTGTCACCAACACGTGGTGGTGCAGCCCCTGCCCTTCACCCATCCCACCCACTGCCCTGTCCTTCTCTCCATTCACTCAGCAGCATCACAACAGGAACAGGATCTGAGCTTGCCAGTGGTGGGGGGACAGAAAAGGGAAGCTGTGGGCACACAACCACTATGGGAATGGCTGCAAAGAGAAGAACAAGTGTAGCTATTGAGCGAGGGGACAAGTGTAAATGCTGATTGCACAGCAGGGAAGGGAATTAGCAGCTGCTCGTTCAGAGGTGACATGCATTATGCCCAAAACCCATCTCCAGCTCCCCTGAGTTCTTCTAGTGAAACATTTGCAAGGTATACATGATCCCAACTAGGGCAAACAACTGGCTATTCGCTGGTTTTCAAACCAGCTTACTCAACAGAGCCTCTCCAAGAGAGAGCTGAGTGGCACGCAGGTGGAGCAACTCCTGATTCTGTGCTAACTACATACAAGCAGGGGAAAAACCTGGTTTGAAATCCATCTCCTTCCAGTGAGAAGACAGAAGGTGGGATATTTTTGGCATGCCCATTTGCAGCAGCTAGTTGAGCAAGCACTGTTACACGTGGCACATTCGAGACAAAAGGGGTCCCTTGAGCCAGCTAAGAGGGGTCTGCTATTCTGGGCTGCTGAAAATATAATCTGGATATCACTCTGTGGGATGCAGCTGGCTGAGGCCCAAGGTGATACCCAGCTTGGTACAGCACAGTACAACTACAGACCTCACCCAGCATGAGGGGGTCCTCTTGCTCCCCCTCCCATGAGAACAAAACCAGCCAGCTCCCCATGCCTGCTGCAGTCTGCTGTAGCAAGACCAACAAATACAGTTGTCCAGCACCAAAGGCTACACTGTGGTTAGGACCTCACTATGAAAAGGGCTTTATCCAGGCACATTTCACCTGACCCACTTTAAATACCTCCTTCGGGATGAGACTAATCTTGTCTCAGAAGTGTCAATTTCTATGGACTGGAAAGGGAGCACAGGACAACTGTAATGAAGATGCAAATGTTTAAATGTAGCTGAGATAAATACCTAAGTGTCCAGCCCAAAGCCAGGGCTCACTGCTTTTGCCTCAGTTACCAGGAGTTCCCAGCCAAAACTCTAGTCTACATCCTTCACCACACAACTTTATTCCTGCTGGATTTTGGCTTAAGGATGCTTTTGAGTGATTTACTTGTGGATGATAGGTGTGCAAAGGTGCTAGCTGGTCTGCTGACTGTTCTGAGCTGCCCATACAGACAGACCCACACAGAATCTGTGTTTTGGTCCTTTGTCTCATGAACAGAGGAATAACTTTTCCATCATAAATGTTTGCTGTGAAAATAATGAACTGAAAACCCTGTGAAGTTCTTCCTTGATACTGCTGTAGCTGGGGAAGTATCGAACATAACAAGACAAAAGGAAGCCTCATGATTTTCACCATCACACATAAGACACAGTACATCTGCTGCCATCAGTGCCTGTCCTAAGCATGGCACCTTAAATGCAAAGTCACTGGCTTCGATGGAAGCGGTCCTCACCGGTCCCAGCTTTGGCCCAGGCTCTGGGATTTCAACTGTTACTTGTACTGCAGGTATATGGCACTACTAATAGGGCAGACTGCCTTGGCAAGGAGGAATAACTATAAAAAATAACAATAAAAAGGTGAATTGGTTATTAAGAGCCCCAATTATAAGACATAAATTGTTCCACCCCAGCCTGGCGTCCTGTCATCACCTGTGGCCAAAACACCTTAGATACCTCAAAAGAGGCTAAAAACCAAGATGAAGATATACCTCAAAGAGGGAAAAAAATATGCCTCCTGGCCCTGGCCGATATAAACACCCTAAAAACCCTGGATTGTGGTGACTGTGAAACACCAACACACCAGTACACAGGGACTCCTGAGCCTTGTGAGCCTACCTCCAGAAATCCCCACTGCTGTTTCGCAGTTACTCCAGCTTCACACCAAAAAACCCCTAAGTTTCTTGTTTCCACTAACTTGTTTGAAAACTTTCAGAATTTCACTCCCTGTGTAGTTGGAAGCTTTACAGGTTTTAAGTGCATCTTGACCCATACTGTCTTGACTTTATTAGTTCTAGTTGCTCTTTGGATGTTTATTCCCTGCTCTCTTATGCTTTTTCTTTTTTTAAAGTACTTTTGTGTGCCCACACTCAAATACTTTCAGCAACGCCATGTTATAATGGATGAAGAAAAACTAGAGAGCTACAAAGGGAGGCAAAGATGATCTGATGTGACTACCATGCAAGAAGAAGCTAAATAGATTAAGACAACACGGGGAACACGGAGAAAAGGTGATAGAGGATATCTGACAGCCGTCTACACAACTGTCACTGCATGAAGACAGTGACTATGAGTCTTTTTACACTATTTCTCCAGATTAGGAGGCAACAATGAAATTATCAGACAACAGAAGCATAATTACTTTTCCTGTAGTGCATAAATTGCAGAACTCTGCTACAAATTGTTGCAGTGGTCGAAAATATAAAGACTCAAAAGGATTAGACAAACAGTGGAAGATGTTTACAAGTATCTGCTGAACATGGCAGACCTAAGGCAAACTCTGGCTCTGGAAATCCCCAAACTTCTGGTTATTGTCCTCTGGGAGGACAGAGACTCTCATGCTCTTTTCCTCTTTTGTGCTCAGTACAGCCATGCTCAGATTAAAGTCAGTGGGCTAGACAGACCTTCATCAGACTCACTACAGCCATTTCTCCTGCTTGTGTTTCTTTTCATGTAGTTAAATAATCTGCTATTTATTTTAGATTTTCTAAGCATAGCCCAGCTCAATTAAAAAGTGAGTGGCCAAAAGCCTAAGACAGTGTTCTTTTGCTAATAAAAACACTACTTCTTATACTTGGAGAGACTGATGCTATTCAGGGCAGCCTGCAGATTTTCTTGGCTGTTTTGGAGTGCTTACTTGAATGCAAATGCTGGACCATATTTCCACTTTTGACTTAAAGTAATTCTTTCCTTCTTTCACCCCTACATCCTTGATTTTTCAGTTCAGTCAATTTACTAATTAATTTCCTCTCTTTCTTGAGGTCTGTCTTATTAAAATTCAAAGTCTGTATTATAACCCTATCTTTGTCAACAAGAACTGAATGAACACATAATTGCTCACTCTAAGATTACTATTTACAAGTAGCTCCTCTAAAAGCACCTACTTGATAAACTAAATTTCAGTTAGTTCTTGGTTATTTGATGAAGAAATCTGGTTACTGTGTCTCGTCCCAGCTTCCTATTTAAAGCTATTTTTATTAGCTGCCAGAACCTCACCTGCAGAAGGCTGGTTGTACAGATGGAGAGAATTTTTCTGGACATGAAAACCCCTAGTTAAACGTGGTCTTGCATTCCCCGAGCCACCTGATGGTCATCAAGAAAATCTTATCAGTACTTCTTCCCTCTTAGCTGGGAATGTAAAGGTTCCCCTGATGGCCTGAGCTCTCATTTCCATGAGTAACCTCTCCAGCTCAACACCGTCCTCCTCCTTTTCCACACAGAGCAATCCTGAATCATTTGTTCCAAACAGAAGAAAAATATATTCATCTTTTTATAACTCCCATCCAGATCCTCTTCACACTCAATTCCAAACCTTCTTTGTCTCCAGCACACAGTGAATCTTTTCTGTCTTTTCTTCTATAACATGCCTACTTCTTCCTCTACTGAGGACACGAACATGCCTCTTCCCAGTGCCAGAGCTGCTCCCTCCTTGCTCTCTCATTTCACACCAACTTTCCCTCCCTCTTGAATGCTGCTTTCTTTTGTTTCTGTCAAATTTCATTATATATTACTTTCTTTGGAGCAGCTTTCCTCCTCTTTTCCCTGGCCACGGCTATCACAATTCTGCTTGCCTTCTCCTCATCTTCTAGCTTAGCAAGACTATTTCTCAATTGTATTCTTCCTTTGCCAGCTGGTCCTTTCTTCTACCTGCATCCTCTGGTCACACTTTTTCATGGATCATAGAGGCAACTGTCTCAGTTCAGCCCGATTTGCACTCAGAAAAATACAGCCAGTCTGCACACATCTGCTGTAAAGCAGGGTTAAAACAGCAACTTGTTCAATAGATTATCGCTATACATCCCATCTTTTGCTGTTTGTGAAAGCTACGTCAAAGGCATTAGGAACCGTACAAGGATGCTGGGCACTCTGCACCTCCTGTATCAGACCACCTGTATTGCCTGTGCTAGACTTTGCATTTCTCCACTGCTGCCATATCCCTAATACTAAAAAAAAGATGAGAGGGAGAAAGAAAACAAACCACAAATGAAAGCAACTATCTACAAGTTCTGCCCAATCAAACTGCCCCCCAAACAAAAACACAGGTGCCTGTTTGTTGCCCCTTTCATTGCTTCCACCACTATTGATTTACATCAACACAGCCACGCTGTGTCCGCAGCAGCAGAGCAGGAAGGCAATACCAACTCAGCAGCAAGCACCAACACAGAGGCAGTAACAGAGGACAGCAGCTCCTTCAACTGGCGTAATTGCCTCCAGGAGAGAAGAGCCATCAGCGTGCTCTGCTTTCTTCCTGGGAATAAACGCTGCTTGTTCCCTATGGGCTGTTCTCAGCTTTTGAGAGTCATTCTCAAGATGATTTACACTGGCTTGAACACATGACAAGCAATTTCAAATAATAGTGACACTACTTATGAGTAATGATGTCACATCATCTCCTGTACATGGCTGAACTGAGCATCTATCAACCGCTTGTTTGGTGCTCAGTGCACTTCCCATGTCAGCAGAGCAACAGACCATTAATAGCATTCTGGCATTTTCTGGTAGCGACATCTGCCTTTATGACTTGGGGTTCACTCTAAATATCTGTATGTGTAATTTAGCTCCATAACCAGCTTAAGTCCCAAGTGATGTCTTTTTACATCTTCCCCTAGGAAACTGTGCCTGTGCTCCATGTCAACAAATTGCTTCTCTTTTTCAGACAAAATATTTCCTTTCTAAATATCATCTCTACTCTGTTTTTTCCATGTCCATGTTTTTTCTTTGAATCTGCAGCTTAAAACCTTCTTGGTTCCCTTTATCTAAACAGACAGCCTGTGTGCAATACGACTGAGACAGGCACAGCAGGAGAGACGAGCGAGAGCTGGGGAAGACTGGAGAGTGTGGATGGACATTAAAGAAATATTAAATGTTCTTTAAGAATTGGTAGCGTATCTTTTACGCAGTTTATGCTATGTCATTAATGTACTGAAGGAATATCTAAATCAGGGGGAAAAAAAAGTTGCCATAGTTAATTTGATAGCAAAGTGCTAATTACCTTTCTCGAACAAACTCTGCCATTTCTTTCTGCATTTGTTTCCCTTTAAGTTGCTTTTGAAGAAGAATTTCAAATCCCGACACTGTATTGTTCCCTTGCGAATCCTTCTTATCAGCCTGGAAGGAAAAAGGAAGTTCAAGAAAAAGATATGGGGATCAAAACCACACACACACAGTTCCCAGCAGCAGCTGCCCAAGCAGTCTGAGCAACAGGCAACGATGGTATCTGAAGAGCCCTCCTCTGATAACAGCTGATGGTCGCAGCACCTCAGCCCCTCTCAGAGGAATAGTCCAACACTTTCTCTTTCCCCCTCCTCTTATTCCTTTTTTTTTATTAAAAAAAAAAGAAGTTTTACAGTTATCTTTAGCCAGCGTAAGACTATGTTGGGGCCAAAGCAGCAGTCTTGCCGTCCCTTCTGCCCCATGGCCTTTCATACCTGATAACGCCCCTGGGCTGGCTCCAGCAAGCGTGAGCCCTGACGGCTCAGCCCTGCAAAGAGAAGAAGAGATCCTGGAGCCAGCACAAGGGAACTGCTGGGGGAGAAGGGAGGACATTGCTGCTCTTTCCAGAGGTAACGCAGCCCTAAACGACCTTTAATAGACTGTAAAGTTCAGCCCTCATTTGCACTCAGAAAAATACAGCCAGTCTGCACAGATCTGCTGTAAAGCAGGGTTAAAACAGCAACTTGTTCAATAGATTATTGCTATACATCCCATCTTTCACTGTTTGTTTCCTACACTGCCCTTTTCACCCCTTGCTCCACTGACTTGAGGGTTGCTACAAGGACCAACACAGTCTTCTCTCCTCTCTTTTCTCTCTCTCCTCTCTGCTTTCCCTTATTTCAGAATTTCATTTCCCACCCTCTTGCAACAAACAGGCCCAGAGAACACTACCCTAAGGACTACAGGTTTTGCTTCAATACCCTGGGTGCTGCACCTTTGCACAGAGAAAAATGCCACGTTAATCAAAGCAGGAGACTTGTAGGACATCCCACCCTCTTGCAACAAACAGGCCCAGAGCACACTTCCCTAAGGACTACAGGTTTTGCTTCAAAACCCTGGGTGCTGCACCTTTGCACAAAGAAAAATGCCACATTAATCAAAGCAGGAGACTTGTAGGACACCATGCCAGGCACCGGGCAGCTGGGCACTACCAGCCTGAGACAATGGGAGGAGTAGAATTGATCGAAGAAGGAGGCGAGTCATGGGCAGACCATGGATTGCAAGGCTGAACAAGAGGGAAGTCCTGGGAGCAGAGCTATGGGAGGATAAAAGTTTGCAGAAGAAAAGCAGCTTTAAGTGGAGTTTCACTGAGAGCGAGATGTGACCAAACCCAAGGAGCCAAGCAGTGGCCAAGCCTAAATGGAAAGAACCAAGCAGGGCAGTGACTTCTGTAAGACACAGGCAAAAAATAAGCCTATACACCACTTCCAATTTATTGCTCATTGGGATCAGAAGACTGGAAGAAACTGAAGAAACTTTGATGGTTTGGTAACATGACCATTTGCAAGTATATCAGTGTATTTTAGCAAGTTACTGCCATTACTCCTCACACCAACACTGAGCACGCACGATGGGAAGTGCTGCTGTGACTCCAACAGCTACATATTTTTGTAAGTGAAACTTTTTTTTTCTAAATGGAAACACTTCAATAACTGATAACTGAAAACACATGTGAAATTCATAAAATCTTCATTGTTGAGGTAGTACTCCCCCTGCCCCCAAAAAACAGTTTTCAGGTGGAAGATTTTTTCTATCAGCTCCATGCTTGAAGGACTACTGTATCATTTTAATCTGATTCAGGATCCTGAAAGCAGAGCTAAGCACGAGAGGGCACACACAGAAACACAGCCACTGGAGACTTCCCGTGCTGAAGGCTGCATTGAAGCTACTCAATTTAAGAGCTACTAATGGGCCTGTCCTTCACAAACGTCATCCTTTAAAAAAGTCATTTATCATCTGTCCTTCAGAATATCCCGTGAGAGTGAGTTTTACAATTTAACACGAAGTTTGTAACTATCTGCTTGTTTTAAATGTGATACCCCCAGCTTCCTTGTGCATCCCTAGTTCTCATGCTCTGGGAAACACTGAAAAAATATTCCCTGTCAGCCACCTCGCTATCCCTCCTCCTGCTGTACAGCCCTTTTGGCTGAGGTATTTTGAGATGTGTAATTTGTCCTACATCCTCCCCACTTGCTGACCAAAACCATCTCCTGACAGCTGACCTTGCCTTTTTGGACACTCTTCTGATAATTGCCCACATCTGAGACCAGTTAGATGGTTTCCACCTGATCTTCACTGGCGTCCTGTCTCCCTGGTGCTGCCCAAATTCTCCTTTACCTTGTACCACAAATCAAGCTGGTTTTCACACTTTTTCGGAAGCTCAGGAGCTGCAATATGGCATGTGGCTGGCTGCCTACTTACCCAGAAATAATCACAGTAGCTCCACTCCGAAGGTTTCAGCAACTGCTGCTCTGGCATTACGTCAGGGTGGGGGAAAGTCACACAGTTTATCTGTAAAAAAAAGCAAAAGAGAGTTAGAAGGTAATGAAATTTAGCTGTTGATGAGAAATATGCAAATGAAAGGTTATATACACGCACTTCCAATCAGAAAAGCCACAGTGAATGCATATCAGTGAATAAAAATTGGTTGTTGCATGGAAACAGCAGCTAAGTATTCCCAGAAAGCTCCTCTGAGCAAGCAGGAGTGTTGGCTCAGAGGAAAATAAACTACCCATTTCACATGAGGAAAACCTGCTTGATTTGGAAAGCACCATACAGGGAGTTCTCCTAGATCCCTCACAAACTGTGGTAAAAATCCTGACGTGAAACACCCTGAGCACACCCTGAACGCAAGAAATGCTGTGAGCAGCAGAGAGCACTGAAGGCGCTATCGGTGTATCTCAACAGAAAATCATAGCTATGTTAGTCTCTTATAGGATTACAAAAAAAGGTGTTATTTTTTCAGTGCACAGCCCTTCCATCTATCCCAGAGACCTTTTCAGTTGAAAGTGATGCTCCCTGCAAAAAGGAACAGGGGCTCTCTAAAGTCAACTAGCCTTCAGTGCACAAAAACCACAGCAATTTCCGAGACAGGACTCATCACACAGTCATTAAACAAAGGCATAAAAAAGTACAAGTGCTCATTAAGTTATCACAGTAGAAAATGTAGCCTGATAAAAGCACAGTGGAAGCAAAGAGCGTGACAGCTACTGCAGAACGTGCTGCAGAATAACTCTGGACGCAGTTAAGCCCTTCAGGGGAAGCATCAGCAAGAGTCAGAGCCCACTGCCAGTACATAACGCTTACCTAAAATTTCTGCTGGACAGGCACACTAAAAGCAGTCCCTCTCATCGCACCCGCAGGTTCACTGGACACTATGAGTACTTGTGTATTAATCAAGGAACCAACAGAAATTGGGGATGGAAGACTCGCAAATGTAACTGTATGGGTTTGGGGGGTTTTTTTGGATCAGTTAACATTCACAGGAAATCTAAAAACAAAGCTGTGGGCAGGGTTAGCACAGCTGCACAGGCAGTCCTAAAGGTAGTGCTTACATGCTGCGAATCTGCCTTTGGGCTATTCAGAGAGGATCAAAAAGGACACGGCAACATGCTGCAAAGTGCTGACACAGTATAAACCCACCATGCTAGAGCAATGCAGACAAAGCCTTTAGCTGATACAATGCTGTTCCTACAAACCCACATTGGCTCTGCTGCTGTCTGCCCATGCTGAAGTTTCAGTGGCTGTCCTGTATGTAACGCAAGAGCTTTCTCCAGCCCCCTTCTCCACAAAAATCACTCTGTCCAGAGCTTGCCAAGTCCATTTCAAAGCAGGCTGAGGACCCTGTACCTATGGTGTCTTGGGCTTTCACCTCAGCTAGATCCTAAACCATGCGTCTTCCCTTCCAGCTTCCCTCCAGCTCCCATCAGGCTTCAATCTGATATGCAGGAGGTCGGAGACCAGGGCTCTCTTCACCATCACTTTGCAGGCAGCAGCCGTACATCGGGTGGGCCTGCATCTCCAGCCAGAGCCAGCCTCCACTAGCCACACGGTCCCAAAAACAGACAACAGCAGCTGCTGAAAACACCTTCCCACTCCTTCACGCTCCCCATCAGAAATGCCACGCATCAGGAGTTATAAAGCATCAGCTCAGTTCAGAGCGGGATGGCCACACAACGGAGGTGCCGGTGCTCACCCTCGCCCGGGCACCCTGCACCCCTGCGGCATCAGGGGACATGCGAGAGGACATGCTAATGTAGTCACACTCAGCTGGACTTGCCCATGCTGCAGCGATGGGCCCCTGTGTTATCTCAGGCTGACCTCTGTCACCACCACAGCCTCCAGCACGAAGCCCCTCCATGAAAGACATTTCACTGAGGACACCTTCTGTCTCTGCTAAAGTTTTCCTCTCCTGCCTCTTCCCTGTCAGCTCAGTTATCATAGGACAGCACTACAAGCCCATCTTGGCCTGTTTTTTTGGTTAGGTAGGTTGGGTTACCTTCCCTTCTCCATTCAGGGATCACCAGATCTAAAAGCCTGCAAGCAGATCCCATCATCCGCTGGAAGCAGCCCAGCCACAGGAGAGAAGCTGACACCTCTCCTCCAGGCGCAGCCAGTGCAAGCAGGGGCGTGCAGAGCTGCTCGCGGGCAATGCAAAGCTCCGGCACAAGGGGCTGCCAGTGTGCACTGGCCCAACACCCTGTGAGGACACTCCTCTCACCCCCGCCAGGAAGCTTCACAACTGATCAGCCCAAATGTCTTAAAAATACTGGCTAGAAACCTTAAGTCAAATTGCTACCTTCAGACAGTGTCTGACAAGCAATGACCTGGACCAGTGCTGGACCAGCACAGAAGGGCAGACAGAGAAAAGGCTCCGCTTCACAGATCACCAAATCCCATGCCACTGCTGATCACAGGCTGCGCTGGTATCTGGGCATGCCTCTACGCTGTCACAGCCACACACTGTTTCTCAAATAACACAATATATTGTAGTTCGCCTTAAAAAAATGGGATGGCCTCAGAACCCGTGCACAATTGCTCTGCCACGATCATAGCAGGCCAACTGCTTCCCGTGAATGAGCAACACTGCAGCTCATCCTCCCAGAGCAGGGGAGATACGGGGAACAAAGTATTGTCAGCAATGGCAATGTTATAAGTAACCATGTGAAGGTATGCGGTGTCAAGACAGGTTTAAACAGCTTCTGGCTTTGAGGATTTCTGGCTTTGATGCTGCATTTCACACTCACTGAACAAAAGTTTGGGTGACAGCCAGAGGTCACTTGGACACCAGCCCTTCCAGCCCCTCCAGCCTCTCCAGCATCTCCAACCCCCCCAGCAACTTCAACCCCTCCAACATCTCCATCCCCTGAAGCCCCTCCAGCCTCTACAGCCCCTCCAGCCTCTACAGCCTGCATGAAACACCAGCCTGTGCACAGCTACCGTGTGTGCTTACACAGCACACCTCATGGGCATCCAGGACAAGGTGCTGCCTCTTGAGAGCAGACTGCCAAGCTACAGGAACTTGGGATTTAGCTCAAGTTAAAAATACTTAGCAGCAGAAGGCAAAAGAGGTAAAGAGACTGCATGGAAGTTTTAGGGACGCTGGAAGCGATTCCCATCTCCACAGCAGGAGCACCAATACTGCAGTGGTGAAAGGAGAAGCTATTCTGGTTTGCACCTATTCTCTTACTGGTGATCTTGCAGAGAATGGCTAGGAGGTCCCCTGTGGAAACACACTGCTGAGTGGAGTTTTGTGTTTCCCAAGACGACTTATTTCAACTGAGAAAGGATCAAATGCTCCCCATGAAGACAGCAGTGTTTTCAAGGCAGATTGCTAGGGACCAACATTGTCACACTGGATAATAAGAAGGGGGGGAAATAGGCACCTCCTAAGCATATTTTGTAGCCTTTACCAGAAGACTGGGCATCATCGCACTGCGCACCAGGACACGGAGGTGACGTGCAGCAAGGAGCACGTACAGTGGCACACGAGTTGTTCCCTGCAGCTTAAAAATCTGCAAAGGGAAACTGCAAGGGAAATTCATATTCCCTGCTAAAAATGGCACCTGTTTCATGAAAACGAAATCTGTGTCAGCTGGAAGCTGCTTATTAACTTTAAGACTTTCCATTACATCACTAATGTCCTGAAGAAATAAACACAAAGTCACTGGAAATGCCCACGCTCGCACTGGTGGAGGTGTCCCACTGCACTGCACCACGTCCACGCACACAGCAGAAGAGGAACAGTGAGTACACAAGTCAAGAGGTGATGAGAGTAAGGTTAATTCACATGTTTCTCAAAGAGTTATCAGACTCAAAGCTTCATGAATAAATCAAACATTCTTCACTTCTCAGAAGCTTATACTTAATTGTTTAGAAACGATGCTGAATTGTCTGGAAAAAGTCATGAGGGCATTTGGGTCTAGTATCACGTTCAAAAGGAAATTCTGGTGTCAGAATTAAAAAAATAAAATGCAGAAGCTTTTGAAATCTTAAAAAAAAAAAAAAAGGATTATTTGTGTGGTAAACAGAACTTAACAGAACTTACAGTTTTCTACACAAAGTCCTGGAGGGGCCATGAAAATTTTCAAAACTCCAGAAATATTACTAAAAATTACATATGACTGCGTAGGAAATCCTGTGACTCTTTCTTTCCTTTCATCACCACAGATTTCTTATACTTAAACAAAGGCTCTTGGATCTGTATTTCTGAACATTTCTAAAACCTCTCAGGGTCTCCCAGCAGGGAGGGAAACACCGGGCTGGCACTGAGCAGGACATGGCTGCACGCCAGCAGTGGAGTGACCACACCTCGCTCCCCCCACAATCCTCCCTCTGAAATGCTCCTTTTCTTGTTTCTAAAATCAAAGACAAATGAAAAAAAGCACTTTGGTTTCACCAGCTTAGTCCCACTGATGAGCTTTTTGACTGATGCTAAAGACAGCCAAAGCATCTCGTGATAACGTCCTGATGTTTAACAGCATTAAAGAGCTCTATCAGTCCCACAGACAGTGATGTCCCCTCCCTGCGCAAGGGACCACTGCTCTCACTAATCGCATCCCTGACAGCCGGTCAGGCTACGTGCAAGGTCCAAATTCAAACAACAGGATAGACCATCGCAGTGCTAATCTCTTTCAACAACGCTGACTAGCCAGCAAGGCCTGAACAAAAGCGTGCAGAAGCTGACTATCACAGCTCTAATTGCCAGTAAGAAACAAAACAAACACATAGCTAACGATGGAGTCACAGAACTTTAAGAGAAAACAAGGCATTGTGACCCGCATTACATTCGCACAGGCTCCACTGGGACAGCCGAGGTAATAATCAGCCTCACCATGATATTAAGTCCTCATCCAGCCTCTTCACAAATAAAAACAATGGCTGTTGTCAGCTTGCAACAAAGCAAAATTAATGACAAGACACCAGCAAGGCGTACTCCAAGTATAAGCTAAGCAGCCTGTCCTTCCAGCTGCCACTGGACACGAGTGGCACCATAAAACCTGTGTGAGAAA